ACCACCTAATCCAAGTCCCTCATTTTACAGATGAGGAAATGGAGGCCCTGGAAGTTGAAGTAACTTGCCCAAGAGGGAAGGAAAAAGAAAAAGAATGGTCAGGTTTAGACAAGGAAGGGAATAAATCTGTGGTGCATGAGATCATCTAAGAGGGAGGAAAATAATTTCCCAAAAGGATGATGTGTTTGGCCCAAGGTCATGTAGTAAGGAGCTGATTAGGACTAGAGACCAGGTCTCTTGATGTGTGGCCCTGTGTTGTTTCCACCACCCTGCCCAATGGGCTTGACTTGTATCTCATGGAAATGAAAACCTTCTATTCAGGTGAGGCAGAAGGATAGACCAGGATTTTTTATTCTCCCTTTTCTAATCCAAGGCCCTTCGGTAAGGAAGAAAGTGGAAGACCCTTCACAGTGTTAGGAAGTTAGGAAGCCCTGTCAACCCACTTCTTGTCCTATTCCTTTCCCAAGTATGTGTTTTAATTCCCTTCCAAACTTGGACAACTTATCCAGGGCCTGGAAGACAACCACAAGGGGAAGATTCACAACAATCAATGGCTCCCTAGTATCAAATACAAACTCTTCTGCTTGATGGTTAATGCCTTTCATAACCTGGCTCTACTGATTTCACATTATTCCCCAACATATTTGCTATGTGTGAGCCAAGCTGACCCCATTGACAGTATTGGCATGCTATGGTAACAAAGAGTTGGGCAGGACTGAATGACTGACCAACAAAAATAATCATTGTACATGTTGCTTCCCCCAGTGGAGTGTAAGCCCCTTGATGATAGGACCATGGAATTTTTTGTCTTCATATCCCTAGAGCCTAGTACAATACCTGGCACAGAGTAGGCACTTTATAAATACTTGTTGAATTGAGTTGAAGGATTGGTGGCCAAGATGGGACCAGCATAGTGCAATGGATAGAGAACTGACCTCAAAGTCAGGAATTCCACTCAGCTCAAGTCCCTCCTTTGACAGACTGGCAGCATGACCCTGGGCAAGTCACTTAACCTCTGAGCACTGTAGGCAGTTCCATAAAACTCTTAAGATGGTTCCATCCTACATTGATAGAGTTTCTTCAGCTAATAGTTTCCTATACCAATCCAGTCACAAACATAGTGTCTAGATATCTCTCTGTCCCTAGCCCCTGATTATAGCACAGAGAAGGTGATTTTCCTGAGCATTTACATATCCTGTTCACATGACCCCCTTAGCAAATCCACTTGCTAAGAGAGCTGGAGAATGGTGGCTATACTTAATGAAAAACCTCCTTCTTCCTTCCTAAAGGAAGTGGAATTTTTTCCTTGTGAGTTCTACCACCACCACCATCACCACCCCCAAAAGGTATTTTTAGGAGCAGTAAAAGCAATCTGAAGAGTGGTGTTGGTTTTTTTTTTTTTTTGCCACACTTTGCTGACAGTTTTCAGAGACATCCTTCAAATTCCTTCTGACTTATTTAAAGTTATGCTTTCCATCTTGTATGCACAATAGCATGCAAATGTAATCAAGTGGTTAAAAAGTCAGTAATCTCTGATGACATTACAAAATGTCAACATTTCCCTTGCCTGGAAAATACATATGGAAAGTAAAAAATGGGCCATTCCCCCCCCACCCATCTCAGTAAAAGCCAAACTTTCATGCTGTTTAGAAAGCCTTGGGACCCACTTAGCTGCATCTCATTATGCAAACTATACACTATAACAATAAGAAATTTAGCTTCCCAGTCTTATGACTTGCATCTTATCTGATCACAACCTAAGAAGGAATTGGAAGATGCTGGTAGGACATTAGCATTAAAACTATATGATAATAATGTGGAAACATAAAGACTTCTAAAGATTCCTCAAAGCATATGGCTGTGAAGCATTTTAGGTCAGTGGGAACAGCTTGCTAATGAGTCAGGGTTGGACTGAGTTTCTCCCTTTGTGAGTCAATTAAATTCAACTAACTTGTCAACGTATGGGTAGCTGATGGTACACCGGGCCTGGAGTCAGGAAGACTCCTCTTAATGAGTTCAAAATGGGCCTCATTCACTTACTAGCTGAATGACCCTGGGCAAGTCACTTAACCCTGTTGCCTCAGTTTCCTCATCTGTAAAATGAGCTTATAAAGGAAATTACAAACTGCTCTTTGCCAAGAAAACCCCAAATGGGGTCACAAAGAGTCAGACACAACTAAAATGATACAACAACAGCTTATCAACGTATGCCACCAGTTACATGGGACCCTGAAAAGAAAATGTAAATGGTGCTGTATTAACTGTCCTCCCCACCAAGGAAAACAAAACACCACTACAAAACATACATTCTCTAAGGTCATGATAAATTAATCAGTAGTAACATCTATGTACAGGAAGTACTTTTTTTCTAAAAACATATAATAACTTTTATAAAAATCATTTGATGAGTTGGTACAGTGGAAACATCACTGAACTTAGAAATGGAAAACCTGGGGGAAATGACTTTACTGAGCATAAAATCGTTGTTCGTAGTTAACATATTTAGAGCTGGAAGGGACCTTGGAGTGTATCCAATCCAATCCCTCCATTGCCAGATGTGGAAACTGAGACCCAAGGAGACAAAATAACCTCCAAAGACACACAGTTAGTGAAAACAGTGATTTGAACCCAGATCACAGACCAATCTAGCATCCAGAGCCAGAATTTGTGTCTAGATCTTCTGAGTCCAAGATCCATCCATATGCTGACCACTGTACCATGCTGTCCGTAGTAAACTTAGACTGGACTTCCAAAAACCAAAAAGATCATCAAAAAATTATTAAGCGCCTGGTAGATCATTTAAACATCCAATTTATCAATAAAGTTACAGTAATAGACAATCAGTATCCTAGAACAAATATATACATGCTATGTATATATGTTTGTATACATATACATACATACATACATACATACATACACACACATATATACTTTATACATGGAGATATAATAGAATCTGCCAGAGGAAGATCAGTCTCACGGACAGCTTTTCCACAGTGAGGAAGGAAGCCACAACAGACGGTTTCCTCCTTAAAAAGTTTCCCCAGTGACCTGAAACCATGGTTATTTACCCAACCAACTTTATTTGGGGTGTCTGCCCTTGCACATACCCTCAATCAATCAATCAAACAACAAAATATTTATTAAGCACCTACTATGCATCAGACAGTATGCTAGGTGTGGGTATTACAAAGACAAGATGAAAGAGTCCCCCCCTCAAGGAGCTTAAATTCTCCTTAAGGGAGTACAACATGTATACACATAAGAAAAAACAAAAATTAATAATATTAATAATAATAATAATAATAAGTAGCCAGAGATGGAAGTTATGATCCTTGCATTTATAACAGTGGCTTCAGTACTTGGCTGAGTTCATTATTTCAGCAGGTAGAGTTCTTCCACCAGTATAATTCAAAGCTTCCAGTCCTCTCATCTTTAGTGATTCTTGTCCATATCTTGGAAAAATAGAAACTACATGAGGGCAGGTACCATCTCACTTTTGTGTTTGTATCCCTAGAGCTTGGCATATAGTAGGCTTAATAAATGCTTATTGATATATTGATCTTGCCACAAATCATCCTTAGAGTACCCATCCATAGCTATATGGGTAGAAAATTGGAGATCTGGACTTGAAATGAAACATACAAAAATAATAGAGTTAGAGCTGGAATAGACTTTAGGGACCATCTTGTCCAACCCCTCCTTTTACAGATATGAAAGTTGAGGTCAAGAGAATTGCCAAAAAAAAAAAATCACAGATGTAGGAAGGGCAGAGGCAGGATTTGAACCTAGGTCCTCAGACTCCCAATACACCACTCTTTCCACTGTAACATGTTGCTGTTGTTCAGCCATGTCCAATTCTTTGCAACCCCTCCTTGGGGAGAATTCTTGGTCAAAATACTAGAGTGGTTTGCCATTTCCTTCTCCACTTCATTTTGTAGATGAAGAAACTGAGGCAAATGGGGTTAAGTGACTTGCCCAGGGTCACACAGCTAGATAGTGTCTGAGGCTGGATTTGAACTCAGGAAGATGAGTCTTCCTGACTCCAGGCCCAGCTCTCTGTGCACTATGGTGCCACCTAGCTGCCCTCCACTGTAGCATACAGCTTCTCAGTGAGGATCCTGAGGCAGTGAGAAGTTAAGTGACTTGCTAGTAAAAGACAGAGGTAAGATCCGAACCCAGGTGCCTGGAGCTGAAAACTACTGCTCTTTCTACTATGCTATGGAGTTTTCATTAAACCCCAGCTTCTGCTGGATGCCTTTCCCTGTTTCCCCAAGTTCCTACTGCCTTCCCTTCTGAGATCACCTTCCATCTACCCTCATGTATCTTGTATGTACCTCATTATTTACATCGTTTCCCCCATTAGAATGTGAGTTCTTTGAGGGCAGGCACTTTTTTGGGCCCCACCCCCCTTTTGTACAGCTAGGTCCCAATTAATACAAATATAACCACCCCCTGAAGTTGCTTGTATTCAAATTCACACAATTCAAAACTATGATTATGTAAAATATGGTAACTGGTTCCAGCCCAATGAAAATATGCAATGCAAATTCAAATAATGGAACCGTTTCAGGGGAGACATTATTCCCAGTAATCAGGACCTAACGGTATCTCCAGCACTTAGTACAGAGGCTGGCCTATATAGTAATTATAATAAAGCATATTAATTATATAATGAATATATAAACTAATATAAATTATAAATCTAATAACTACTTTAACGAATGCTTGTTAACCAACTGCTAAACTGAATGCATAAAAACTTTTAAAGATTCTGAGGGAATGGAAATGTCATGTAGCACCTTTTCGTTGATGAGAGCATTTGCTGGTAAGACATTTCCTCTAGTTCTTTCAAGTGGGACTGTCAATTTAAAATCCATTTCAAAAAACTCTTTGTTTTCTCCTACTTATGAAGTGCTGATGGTCTGAAAGGAAGGATGGGGAAGATGGCTTTCAATTCCCCATTCAAACATGAGCCATTTGGCATCTCTTTGCAGCAGCATTCTCAAGTGGTCCAGGCAGCTCGGTCCCAAGAGGAAGAATTGGTGGAAGCCCTCAGAGCAGAGTTTCATGATACTGCTTGTGATATTCAGCGCCTTCAAGCGGAGACAGAGTCTTTGAGAACCTTGGTAAGCAACTACTGGATGGGAAATGTTTCTGCCCAGTCTCCATCTCCTTTCTGCTATCTCCTGGTGACCTAAGAGGTACTTTTTTTCCCAGGGAATTTTCATTTCAGCACAAAGACAAAATAAGCCCTCTGGCTAGTAAGGGGGTCCTGGTGAACTAAATAGTCCGATTAATTACTCTCTCTCCTGAGAATAGTAGTTCCCTCAAATATTATCTGAACTACATGTGTATTTATCTACAAGCAGGTCTGACAGATGGCATCTCCCATTCATAGGATCATATACTTAGGATTAAAGAGGATGTTACAGGATATCAGGTCTGAGCTGCTTGTTTTACAGATGTGGAAACTGAGGCACAGCAAGGTTAAGAGACTGAGTTGGCCTGAGGAAACTGAGGCAAACAGGGTTAAATGACTTGTCCAGGGTCACACAGCTAGATAGTGTCTGAGGCAGGATTTGAACTCCAGGGCAAACAGATAGCAAATGGAAGACCTGAGATTTTAATTCAGGCCCTAGGACTCCAGGGTCTTTCTAGACTAGAGGCAGCTATGTGATGGAGTGGGTTGAGTACTTGGCCTAGAGTCAGGGAGACCTAAGTTCAAAAACTATTTCAGACAGTTGCTAGCTATATGACTCTAAGTGCATTGCTTAATCTCTGCTTTCCTCAGTTTCCTCAGCCATACAATGGGGGTAATAAAAGCACTTTCCTCCCAGGGCTGTTGTGAGAATCAAGAGAGATAATAATTATAAAGTACTTAGCCCTGTGCCTAGCACATAGTAGAGTAAATAGTATGATAGCTGAGATGAATTAATGATTCAGTTACTAATTTAGCCTAAGCAAAGTGCCTAAGAATCATTGATCAGCATGGTGTTTTAGTAGGAAGGATGCTGAATCTGGAATCAGAGGATGTGAGTTCAAATTCTACCCTGATCTTATTAGATGTGTGACTTAACCTACCTGGACCTCAGTTTCTTCAATTGTAAGATGAAGATGTTGAATGGTGGAGTCCTTTCCAGTTCTGAAACTATGATCCAGTGACCTGAATTCTAATCAATGGATTGAAATCTAACCCTGCCACTTACCAGCTGTGTGACATTGGGCTTTGTTTGTTACTTAAGCCTTATGGGTACCAGTTATGTGTTTGTAAAGTGAGCAAATTGGATCAATAACTAGTATTTATATAACGCTTTAAGGTTTGCAAAGTATTTGGTAAATATTATTTCATCCTCACAGTTCTGGAAAGTAGATACAATTATGAGATTATTAGATTAGGTGACATCTAAGGTCCATTTCAGCTAGGGAGGTAGCAAATTGTTGGACTTAGAGTTAAGAAGATCTGAGTTCAAATCACACCTTGGACACTTACCAGTTCTATGACCCTGGGGAAGTCACTCCCCTTCCTCTTAGTCTCAGTTTTCTCACCTCAAAAATAGGGATCATAATAGCACCAATTTAGCAGAGTTATTGTAAGGATAGCTAGCTGTTATTATTATTATTGTTGTTAATCAATGATCCTATGAGTTATGATTTCATCAGCAGTAAGGAACTTCTAGTGTGGGAACTCCCTACACCAAATAGAACACCACCTGACCACAGAGTTAATGAAGTTACATAAAAGTTAAATGACTTGCCCAAGGTCACACAACCTAGTGGCACAGTGGATGGAGCACTGGGCCTAGAGCCAGAAAGACTCATCTCTGTGAGTTCAAATCTGGCCTTAGACGCTTACTAGTTGTGTGACCCTGGGCAAGTCACTTAACCCTGTTTGCCTCAGTTTCCTCATCTATAAAATAAAGTGGAGAAGGAAATGGTAAACCATTCCAGTATCTTTGCCAAGAAAGCCCCAAATGGGGTCATGAAGAGTCAGGCATGACTGAAACAACTGAACAATCCAGCTCAGAATTTGAACTCAGAACTCCCAGAACGAAGCCCAGCATTCTCTCCACTGTGTGCATTTTGCATCTCTTCTATGACAATATTAAGTAAAACAAAACAACAACAACAAAAAAACCCCAGACATCTCTAGGTTGGCATTTCAACAAAAGCGGCCCCACTCTGACCTTCAGTTCTGGCAAGATCTTTGACTTTGTCTTGTTTTATTGGTGGCAAATGACGACAATAATAGTAATAGCGACATAGCCCTTTAAGGATTGCAGAGTGTTTTCTTCCCATCAGTTCCATGAGGATTGATTGTATATCATTGATATGTACTAATTAACATATTAATATATAATGTAAGTTAATTAAGATGTTACTATTATTCCTGTTTACCAGATAAGGGGGCTCCCTACTGGAGCGGGTGGTCCAAGGGAGCTTTTATCCCACTGAAATGGGCCTCAGATCAATACATTGGGAGGTGCCTAGTTCTTGATGCCGTACCACCCCCAGCATTTAAAGAACTGGCCCTGCTGCCAGTCTCATACCTTCTCTTCCCGCATGACCCACAACCGCACAATTTGTTTCCAGTGCCACCTCTATCCATTATTTGCTGGAAACACTGAATTAACTGCAGACAGCAACCTCCGGAACCACAGCCCTTTTTGGTTATTGTCCATCTCAGTGGGTGCTGTTCTTCCACAACATGGCACAATTGAAAGAACCCCAGAGGTCACCTAGTTCAACTTGTGCCTGAATAGGATTGCCCCTACCATATCCCCCCAAGCTGTTTTCCAGCCTTTGCTTCGAGACCTCAAGGGGGAACTCACTACTTCCCAAAGGTGCCCATTCCCTTTGGGATAGTTGTCATCATATATTTGGACCTGACCTATGGTAGAACCTTCTGAGCTTATGTCAGTCTGATCAGCCACAATCAGATACACAGTACCAAGACAGGGATGCCATTTTGGTCCTCTTCAGGAATGAAGGATAATCACCAACCAGTTCTCATTATTAGGAAGTCTATCCTTGCCTCAAGTCGAAATGTACTTCTCTGAAACTTTTACCTACTGGTCAGCACTCAGTATGGAACTACGTGCCAGGCACACAGTAAGGGTTTACTAAATGTTTGATGACTTATTGATGTGGTCCTGTTTTCCTTTGTTGGGCCAAGCAGAATATGGCACATTGGTGGTCCTTCAAATACTTGGTGCCAGTCCTTGTATGCCCCCAAAGTCTTCCCTTCTCCAGGCTACACACCCCCATTTCCTTAGACTAATCTTCTAATGGCATAGTCCACAGCTTTCTCACCAGGTCACCCCCTTCTGAAAATACTCCAGCTTGTCTACGTCAGGGCTTCTTAAACTTTTTCTACTCACCACCCCTTCAGCGCTTCTTAAACTGTGAATCTCGACCCATAGTTTAAGAAGCACTGGTCTAGGTATTTCCTAAAATGTAGTACCCCAACCTGAATCCCAAGTGGTAAATCATTCAGTCAACAAATATTCAGTAAGCACTTACTATATGCCAGGCACCTTGCTAACTGCTGAAGATACAAAGAGAAACAAAAACATTCTTCTTCACCTTCAGGAACTCATATTTCAACAAGCAAAGAACCCTGTCCGTACAAGATAGATATATTGTAAATTGGAGGTCACCTCCTAGGGAAAACAGTAGCAGTTTGGTGGGAACAGGAAAGGTTTCCTTCAGAAGGCTAATTTTAAGCCGAGTCTTGGAGGAATCTAGTGGGGTAGATATGAGAAGGCGAGAGCATTCCAGGCACTGGGGACACCCAGGGAAAAGACAAAGAGCTGGGATATGGGAGATGGATGACATCAAAAGAATCAGCACAGCTGAATCATGGGGTATGTGCGGAAGAATAAAATCTGACAAGATTGCCAAGGTGGGAAGGGGCCAGGTTGTGAAGGGCTTTGAGTGCCAAACAGAGGATTTGATATTTATTCCTGGACATCATAGGGTGACACTGGAATGTTATTAGGCATTCCAGCAAGGGTAGGGGTTGGAACATGAGGGGAGAATGAGTGATCAAGAATCTTGAAAAGGAAAAAAGGCGAAGATTTGTGTTGTCCCAGTGAGAAAGTTAAGCCAGAGTGAAAGGGAAGTAGACATCGAGATAGCAAATCAAATCTTTTGGAAGTATCTGTGTCTCCTGGCTTCCAATAAAATGAGAACAGGAAACATTTTTGCCTGTGCCCTTAGAATCCCCAAAGACCTATTGGTACATCCTACCACGGCGCCTTGCATATTCATTCAGGCATATATTCACTTGAGGAGGGTTTAGAGCAATACTGGGGAACCAGCAGCCTCCAGACCTTTGAATCCAAACTTCACAGAACAACTCCCCTTAATAAAAAGAATTTGTTCTGTAAAACCTGGACTCAGTCAAAAGGCCCCACCCGAGGACCTAGAAGGCCACAGATTCCCCACCCCTGGTTAAGGGTTAATATGTGTCAGGTATTGTTCTAGGTGCTAAGTGCTAATGTAGGCAGTTCTCTCAGTTACCACAAGATGTGTGGGACCTAAGCCAGCCCTCCTGGTCGGGGAATGAGACTTTGAACTCTAAGGTAGACTTGGGACTGTTGTCAGGGCGGCAACCTGACTGGCTCACCTTAGCCCCAGATGAAGCTGACCTCGGTCTATGCTTCCTCCCATTCTGGCATCCATGAGGACACCAAGGCCTAGCCAACATGGGCATCTTGCCATCTGCCCTGCTGCAGCATGGGTCCTTGTTCCCCTTCTCCCCACCCTTGCTCAGGGAGGAATAATCAAATCAACATTACTGCCGCTGGAAAGGAGGCAACAGACAATGTATTGCCATCCCTGTGACTGCCTAGACTAAAACTTCCTCCCCTGGCTGCCACTGCCTCTCTTCAAATGGAAGCTTCCTTGAGGGCCAGGACAATCTCACTTTTGTACTTGTACCTCCAGCCCTTGGCATAGGTCCTGACACATGTTCAATGGTTAGTAAGATACTTGTTGATTGACAGTGGTAGCTCCAGGAGACTAAGCAGCCACAGTTACCCTCCCATCACCAGACCCTGGTCCTCCTTCCTGTCTAATAGAAAACAGCTGTAAATACAGTGTCAGCTGCTCAGCTGACGGGAAA